GACCCTCCTTTTGACCCCGTGGGGGGTTGGAGCAAGCGTGAGCGTGAGCTCTGGGGGGGGTGGAACACCTTAAAGACACAAAGCGAGAGTTCTTGCTCCCCAGGAGCGCGTGGTGGCAGCTCACCCGGGCCCAAACCCTGCCCAGGCTTGTGGGAGGCAGCGGACTTGGGGCTTCCCCGGGGGCAGGAGGGGCCGCAGGGTGTTTGGCGGGGGTTGAGCTCTCCGGCTCCTTCCTCCCGCTCCGCGCAGCCGGGGTGGACGTCGGGCACGGCACGGGGGGCTTCTGGGGGAATGAACTCAGGGGTGGCAACTGCTGCCTTCCAGGTGCACCCGGAGGGAAAGTTTGTGGTGGACGTGGACAAGAACATCGATATTAACGACGTGAGTGTCCTGGGGCCGTGGGGGGGGGAACGTGACCGCTCCCGCCGGGCAGCCCGGAGCTGCCTGCTGCCTGCCCCCCCACCCCACAGGGGTGCTGAGCCCCCCTCTTGGCTCTCGCTGCAGGTGACCCCGAACTGCCGCGTGGCCCTGCGCAACGACAGCTACACGCTGCACAAGATCCTGCCCAACAAGGTGGACCCTCTCGTGTCTCTGATGATGGTGGAGAAGGTCCCAGATTCCACTTACGAGATGATCGGGGGCTTGGACAAGCAGATCAAGGAGATCAAGGAAGTGATCGAGCTGCCCGTCAAGCACCCGGAGCTTTTTGAGGCGCTGGGGATCGCCCAGCCCAAGGCAAGGGCTGCTGCTGTGGGGCTGTGGTGGGAGTCAGCGTTCGGGGGGGCTCTGCGGTGCTGCCTGGGTCACCCCTGGGGGTGTCCCTGTGTCTCCTGTCAGGGGGTGGCCGCCCCTGCCGGCACGGGTGGCGTGCTGAGGTGTCCCCGTGGCTGTTGCAGGGTGTGCTGCTCTACGGACCCCCCGGCACAGGCAAGACCTTGCTGGCCAGGGCCGTGGCCCACCACACCGACTGCACCTTCATCCGCGTCTCGGGCTCCGAGCTGGTGCAGAAGTTCATTGGCGAAGGTAAAGGGGTGCGGGGGGAGGCGGCTGCGTGCGCCCGAGCCCCAGCGAGGCCC